TCCTGAGCCACCTGCATCCATCGACTTCCTGCATGTCTTACCAGGTCGTCACTCCATCTCGTGGGGGGACGCCCTACACTTCGCCTACCGGTACGAGGCTGCCATTCGAGAACCTTTCTTCCCCATCGGTTGTCGGTTCTTCGAGCTATATGGCCGGCCCATTGCCACGTCAGCTTACTAATCCGTTGGGCTATGTTGGTAACTCTGGTTCTACTGCGGATATCCTCATTCCTAAGTTTATCACGCAGAGAAACTCCGAGCATAGCCCTCTCCATAGCTCGCTGAGCGACCTTGAGCTTCCTCATCCGGCCAGCAGTGAAGGACCACGTCTCAGTTCCGTATGTCATCACTGGCAACACGCACTGGGTGTACAGTCTCGTTTTCAAGGTTTGAGGTATACCTGACGAGAAGATGTGCCGTAATTTTTCGAACGCTGCCCAACCGAGTTGAATCCGTCGATTGACCTCTCGGTCGAAGTTGGACTTACCTAGTCGGACTATTTGTCCCAGGTAAACATACTCGTCAACAACTTCGAGCTTAGTGTTCCCAACAACTACCGGCATAGGTGTGACATGGACATTAAACATGATCTTAGTTTTTCTAATTTGCCTAATCATAGCAACTATTAAGTGGCGGACGAGATTTATGTTCGGAAGTGGACTTTTGATGGCATATTATAAAGGATGAATGATTAGGAAAGCTAGTGCCAAAAAGTTTTGGATTATTCTCATCTTTCACATGGCTCGGCTCTGCAATAGAGAAACAGTAATATACGTTCTTCTATTTCTGTATCAATTTTGTGTTAATTTTCTTGACTTAACAATAACAAGAAAAGAATCGTCACATGTTTTCCAAATTTATCGAAAGCCAACTCACACCGACACGGTCATCCCCGCGTCATCATGTCATACATGGCAACATAAAGTAGCTGCTTTTTATTGTTACATTAACCGTTTGTTCACTGTCCCATTAAGTAAAGAAAATTATTTAAAAGAACTTAATATAATTTATCAAATAGCGGTCTCTAACGGTTTTTCAAAAAATCTCATTAACAATTTAATTAAAAAGAAACAAAAGCATGTTATTCGCAACTCTCTGTACGCGGTTCAACCTCAAAGTGTTCATCGATATGTGAGCAGTTTGACCTACTTAGGCCCCATATCTGAAAAAGTAGCTAATACTCTTCGACAAAACGGCGTTCATGTGGCGTTCAAAACAAACAATTCTCTTAGAAATATCTGTAATAGTAAAGATAAGTTAGATATTCGTCAAAAGTCAGGTGTTTACAAACTTGTTTGTGACGAATGCCACGCCGTTTACGTGGGTCAGACTGGTCGCAATTTCGAGACACGTTATAAAGAGCATTTAGCCGCGTACAGGAATTGCAATCCCGATAAATCCCATTTTGCCAAACATCTTTTGGACACTGGACACAACCTAGCCAACGACCACTCCTTTAAAGTCTTACATACGTGTAATAAAGGGCTGCGGCTGTGTGTGCTGGAACAGTTAGAGATAATAAAAAGTAATAATAATACCGTTGCATTGCTGAATGAACAAACAAATGTTACTAACTCACCTCTCTTAAATATCTTCAAGCCTGCTCTCTAATAATGTGGGCGTTGCGCGGCGGTTTGTTTTTAATTTAACAAACGGCTGCGTAAGTCCAGCGGTGATTGGTCGCATGTTTTATCGCATGACGCAATCGCTCGCTCGTTAGGTAGAGAGCGGTTGCATCATCGATTTGTATAAAAGGCACTTGTTTTGGCTCGCCGCTCACTTAGCGGTTAGCCACCGTAGAGTCTATATCACCTGAGGATGCCTCGTGTAGAGGCGAAACACGTGTCGTATTATCGTCAGTGGTGTGTCTTGCCTAGTGTAGTGGTGTTGGAAGTAGCGGTGCTAGGATTAGTGGTGACGGGGATAGTGCACGCAATTGAGGGAGGGCGGGAGGTGCTTCTTCATACTAGGTAAGACACATCATTTTATTTTATAACGCGGATATTTGCGAAGTAAATTTTTGTAAAAGCTTTTATATAATGGATTTCCGCAAAGTAACGCTTGATTCTATTAATTATAATAACTAATGAATTGGAGGAAAGGCAGGAAACTTTGTAATTAATATATTTTTTAAGTTGTGAAAATCAACATTTTAGTTTACAACATTTAATTGTAGTGATAATTGGTTTGTGGTAACTAAAGTAGGATATATATGTTTTAAATTTAATTTTATCTAAGTATCTCGAAAAAACGGCATCAACAGTGGTATCCTGTCGTAGATTTTGCTGGATCATTGTCAATTTGTAAATCAAATTCATCCGAAAGAAATTCCAAAAGTGGTTCTGCGTTTCTACTAGAAAAGTTGATATTGAAATCTTCAGCTAAGATAAGTGGATAGATTGAAATAAGTGGTAGAGCCATGCTGCAGCTATATTATGGTTGTAGCACAAATGGGTCGGCTCGACCGGGGAAGGACCACGCTCTCACAGAATACCGGCGTAAAATAGCAGCTTAACGCTGCTGTGTTTCGTATGGTGAGTGTAGAGAACCGGAGACCCTTTTTACTGGAAATGAGGCATTCCATCTTAGTCCTCACGGGTGACAACGCATCTAGATGTCTATGGGCCGCAGCAACCACTTACCATCAGGTGGACTGTGTGCTCGTTTGTCCTATATCCCTTATCCTATAAAAAAAGTGGAAGTTTATATAAATTATTGTTGTGTCTGCTAAGCTTATATACACTTTTTGAATAATCTAACAGTGCTGGATGAATAAATTCTTGAGTTAATTGTTGAAATTATTTCAAGAATATTAATTTATATACGCATCAAATACTAATAATCTCAATAAGTGACAAATGAATAATATATTTTACCTTTATTTATTAATTAAATTACACGAGGTAAATGTTGGTAGTCTTCACCAACATTTACTTCGTGTAATTTAATTTTTTTTGCTTTTTGTCTCTCACGATATTCTTTAGATCTTTGGACATTATTTTTTTTATTATTATAAAGGACTTTGTCGCTGAGCGACCACATCGTCCCGTTTTGTCGACAATTATTTAATCACTACAATCGAATACAAAATTAAACATAAAATCTATTATATTAACAATAATTATGTGCAAGGAGCACGCGCGACTATAAGTAAACACACCTAAGGAATAAGTCGAACCATTAACAGCCCCATCTATTCCCTAGACAGAATCAAGTCTGCTATCTTGACCAGCATTTTAGCCTCATCCGACATAGGATAAGCCAAAATTTAAGTATGACCAGAGGTATAGACATACTTTTGAACCCACTCCTAACCGATCTAAATTATGCAATAAGCATTGTTTATGCCCAAATTTGGTTATGTTTGAACGCCACCCAATTGCGTTCGAGTTGGCGCGTCACCCGATAGTATGTAGGTGAGATAAGCGCCGAGGTGGGGCGGCCGTGTGCGGCTTGCAGTAGCTCGACGCGTGGGCGCGTTTTCTGAGTTGCCCACTAGCCGCGATGAGGGGAACCCGCGTAGCTCGTAATTACGGCGGAATTTCACGCGACCGTTGTCGGGTCCAGATAGTTAGATTAAGTGCGTGTTACTTCCTTACGTGGATATGTGAATTTTGCAATATTTAACATGTTCGGGGATGCGGAATTGTGCACGCGCGCGTCGAGTAGATATACGGTCTAGGGTTCGAACCGCGCATTCCTTGTTCGAGAGCTTCTCACGGTTGATCATCAGGAAATCATTATAATCGTGTCATCGCGTTAAGTGCCCTTTTTTGTGTGTGTTGCCTTGTTAGTTTACGCTTCAACGAGGCGTATTTTGAATCTTTTTGCGACGTGGTTTTTGATGTTGAATGAAGGAACTTAGTTGTATTTAACGCTGAGTAGTATGACTCATAAAGAGATCGCTTTAATTCCCTCTTTATAATTTTGTGATAAGTGAATCCGGGACATTGAATGTTGAACTTTGAACTACTGTCCGTTACTGTGTCGGGTATCACGTGTTCGATTCTACGATGAATGTGGAATTAGGCGAGTTTAAGTTAGTTAAATTTACAATGAAGCTAATAGACTGAAATAGTGACCAGGAAGAAAGAAATGGTCCAGTGGTGGAGCCTGCAGGAGCGATGCAGCGTTTTGGGGCAGCCTGGAACTCGGCTGCTGCTGTTCGAAAATCAGAAATTACACATAATAAATACTTCTTTAAATAAAACAGACAAGTATGTTTTCTAGAGAGTTATCACTTATTTGTTTTATTAAATATGATAAAACATAATTCTTAGTTAAATAATTCGACAGAAGTCCGGGAATAAGGCATTTGTTATAATAGACAGCATAATTGAAAAAAAATCATTCGTATCTTATTTTTTGATATTAACTTTAATTGCATTACAATAAAAACCCTATAGAGACTAAATACATCATAGCAATATCTCAATGTCTAAATAATATGTGATTATGACATAATATTTTTTTAATTTGGTATTGTCGTAAATTTTATAGATAAATAAATGTTGAATTTTCTCTAGAGACCTACAAACAGATAAAAGGGCGCGTTTGCGTATTCTAAAAATCTTTTAAAAATATCATTCCATTACAGAGGAATATTGTTGTCCTTCCTGAATCCATTACATAAAGGATCATACTATTTACATAAATTGATATGAAATTTGTTGTTTTAGATACAATAACCCTTTTTATTGAATATTATGTAGAAAACAATTCATAATTCATATTTATTTACTTTATTTACTTTATTGGAGACAAAACAGAAACAAAAGATATGAAAGAAAAACATACAAGTAAAATAAGACAATGGTAATTACAATTGTTTCCTACAAACTGTCTCACTAAGAACATACATAATATTTATATTATGAAGCAGGTTGTAATTGGTATCGTCTGCATAACAAGCAGGGTAACAAGTCTGTACTTAAATAAAACGAAAACAATCATCTGAAAACAATCATCTAACATGTACAATACTAAATATCCTTATATATCTAATTCATAATTGTTACTAGAGTACTTTTTAATTTAGTTTTAAAAGCTGAACGGGAGATAGAGAACATATCGATGTCGTTAAGCATTTTATTGTGGAGGACACACATTCTGCGTACTGGTGCTCTTTTACCAATATTGGTCCTGGTTTTTGGTATATGAAATAAATTTTTTGATCGTGTGTTTTTGGGTGGTATTCGAAACCTTACCTCGGATAATAACTGTGAACACTTAATCTCACCAACACAGATATTCCTAAAAGTAGTGGCGTCGATTAAAGTGCGTCGGTCTTTTAATGATAGCATTTGATATTTTGTTAAGAGATTTTCATAGGAAACGCGAGGTGAATGCATTCGATAGTTAACAATACGTAAGAATTTCTTTTGGACCTTTTCTATTTTATCTTCATAAACTGAGTAGAATGGATTCCAAACTGGGGATACATATTCTAGATGAGATCTAACCAATGACTGATAAAGACAGGTAAGAGTATCTTTGTGTTTAAATGATTTTGTTATACGTGTAACGAAGCCTAGCATTCGGTAGGATTTATTCAATATTTCTTCGATATGCCTATCTAGTGTGAGTTTGGTATCTAAATATACTCCAAGATCACGTATACTAAATTCTGATACAATTTTGTGACCACCTAAGTAAAAGTCCGCATGTACTACATTTTTGTTCCTAGTATATGTTATGTGTTTGCATTTATTATAAGCCAAGAATAATTTATTAATTTTACAATAGTTTTCAAGTCTGTCCAAATCGTTTTGTATTAATTTTATGTCGTCAGGTTTAATAATGGCAGAGTACAATTTTAAGTCATCAGCGTATAATAAGAATTTACAGTGGTCAAAGCAAGTTGAAATGTCATTAATAAATAGGATAAAGAGGAGTGGCCCCAGTATTGATCCCTGTGGGACGCCAGATGTTACTACAACGGGTAAGGAAATGTAGCCATTAAGCACTACCGACTGTATGCGGTTTTGTAAGTAAGAGGCAAACCAACGTAGAAGATTACCCTTGATACCATTGTAGGAGATTTTTTTTAAAAGTAACAAGTGATCAACTTTGTCGAATGCTTTTTTAAAATCGGTGTATACAGTTTCAATCTGAGATTTAGAGTCCAAACTATTAAAAATAAAGTTAGTAAAAACAAGAAGATTTGTCAGTGTAGACCTGCCATTAACAAAGCCGTGTTGTTCCTCTAATAATGTATTTTTCAAAATTGAATATATATGATCGTGGATAAGTTTCTCAAAAATTTTAGGAATAGCCGAAAGAATTGATATTGGACGGTAATTTTCTACGTTGTTCTTAGAACCTGATTTGTGAATAGGTGTAATGTATGCTTGTTTCCATTGAGTTGGAAATGTTCCAGTTTCCAAACATTTGTTAAAAATTATATTGAGCGGCATGCAAATTGTATTAGAAGTGTGTTTTAAAAACACTGGCTTTATTTTGTCAGGTCCAGCGCCTTTGTTTGGATCAATGTTTTTTAAAGCAGTGCAAACTTCCAACTGTGTGAAACGTATGTCATGTAAGTTTGTTCCAGTAAAATTATCCTCTAAGTGTTGAGCTAATGTATATGCATTGTCTGACAACGGTTCAAATACGGATTTAAAATGATGTGAAAACATTTCAGAAATTATTTTTGGGTCGTCTGAAGTTTTGGTTCCCAGCTTCATTACTTGAGGATATCCCGTATTTGTTTCCTTTATATCTGAAGTATATTTCCAAAAGTATTTTAAATTATCCTTTATTGAAGACTCAACGTTCTCTATATATTTATTGTAACATTTAATTAAGAGACGTTTAGCACGTTTTCTTAATAGGGAGAACTCTTGATAGTCACGTAACGAATTGTACGTCTTCCATCGTGCCCACATTTTAGATTTACGCCTAAGTGTATAAATTAAGCTATTAGAGAACCACTTAGGAAATCTATTTGTTTTAACTTTGACAAGTGGTACATAAGATTCAATAACATGCATAATTTTGTTATAAAATTTGTCAACTACAGTATCTATACAAGAAGAACTGAGTTCAGAAACCCAATCAGTCTCCGATATAGCAGTATTAATTTGGTCATAGTTTGCTCTGTAAAAGTTTCGTTTTGTCTTCTGGTTGGTGGGCATATACTTGGATTGAGTTGTTTCATAAAAAATGTCCAGCGGAGGATGGTGAGGAACGGCTTTTAAGAGTGGATCATCGGAGATATTAACTGAACAATCAGGTGAGTTGCATAAAACAAGATCAAGAATTCTACTGTTTTCGTTTTTTAATGTATTTATTTGTTTCAAATTCATGAAGGCCATGATATGAGACAATAATTTAGCTGTATCAGTAACTGCATTAACAGGTCTCAAGGATGGACCATCAGATGACCATTCCAGATAGGGTAAATTAAAGTCACCAGTAATAATGTAATGTGAGAATAATGACTTTGAGTGAATGTCGTGAAGTATATAAAAGTATTTATCATAGGTAGTAGTTTTAGATGCTGGTGGTATATAGCATGCACTCAATAATAAATTTGAATGTGGGAAATGAAGAAAAATAATTTCTAAATCGGTTGCCTCTAAGTCAAGTTTTCTAACAACATGGATAGATTTCTTAACATGAATTAGCACCCCGCCACCGCCCTTTTTATTAAATAACATACAGTTCCGATCGCGTCGAAATATTGTATAAGCATCAGTTTGAATTTCAGCATCCAAACTTGTATCCAACAGCCAGGTTTCAGTTAAAATTACAATATCGAAGTTACAAGTTAGTTAATTTAGTTTTAAGTCTGTAAGCTTAGTTTTTAAGCCTACACAATTTTGATAGAATATAAGTAACTTTTTAGAAGCCATCACGAGAAAGAAATGCAGCCGATATAATTAAAAGTGTATTTATAAATTTGTTTGCTATAAAATTATGGATCTCGATCTCCCGCTGTATTGAGTATTGTAAACAACATACACAAAAACTTATAATAAAACTACTAAAATATGCTACTTTTGAAATATTAATAAACAAGTAAACGTAATAATATAGTCATATTTTACTTAAATCATTAGTACAACGAATATGAATCACACGTGAATCGTCATTTTTCCGTAGGAAAATGCAACTGTTTTTGACCCACACAAATTTATATCCCTTCGACTTCGCCAGTTGTCGAGCATTACTAAATAAAATTTTATTTTTTAGTGTCAGATGTTCATTTATATAGAATCGTGTGTTTTGAGCTGTAGCAGCGGCACTGTTGGCAGAGCCAAACAACTGAGTAGTGGTGAGTGTGCGGCGCGAACGCGCCGCCGCTATCATATCATCACGCAGTCGTCGTGTGGTCAGTTGCAGTACAATGTTTTTTGGACGGTCGTTCGGTATCTTTGGAGCCACGCGATGAACAGATCTAATATCGCTTGCCTTGATATCGACGCCAATTAGCTTACCCACCTCTATAGATAAATGAATCAGGTTTTCAGCCTTTTTTCAGGAATGTTTTGTAGTTCCACGTTGCAACTGCGAGAGGCTTGGTCGAGGTCATCAAACTTGGCACGTAAATTCTCCAAATCTGCGCGAAGCTCGTTGTTTTCCTGCATCAGGGTGACATCAGGACTATGCGATGCCGTAAAGTTTTGCTCGAGTTCCTTTATGCGCTCCTCCCATGAATCAACACGTTTTTCCAGTCTATTAATATCTTGCGCAAAAGTTTTAGATACTTTTTGGATGGCTGAATTTAAGTCCTCCTGCCACTGCTGGCGCAGACTGTCAAGCTTCGCATCCATATATTCAGTCAAGGCGTCAGTGTCGACGTTTAAAATAGACGTAGTTGCGCAATCTTTAAACTTAGGTGACACTGTCCCTCCTAACGTACCAGCGAGCCTCTTATTTTTACAGGGTGGGCAATTCCATTTGATTTTATTCATAGGGAGGATTTTTTTGAACTCTGTTTCAGATAAATCAGCACATTGATAATGCATGTACATATTACATCCCGTACATTTAATAACATCCCTTTCAGCAATATTTTTTTTTCACTTAAAGGAATCCATTGTAGTGTTTCTATGAGTAAACAACAATATCCAGCTATGTAGTCTCAAATGTAAGATAGATGCGCGGTAGAAACAGAAACATAAAACTACACCTGTATCACTGTTCCTGTGTTAAAAAGGTCGCGAGCAAAACGGCCTAAGCGCCGTTGATATAGCGGCGCTTACGCGTTCCGTCCGAACACTTCACAAAACTCGATATTAATTTGTAATTATTTGATATAGTTCTAATTGCAGAATACTTTAACATTAAACAAAATATCACTGGCTTTAGTACATTTAATAAAGAACTGTTGACACGATAAATAAGACTTAAGCACTCACTACAAACCCATTATTTTATTTAAATTAGACAGACGAAAAGAATAAGGTATTACGCGATAGACCGCTACGGTGAATGATGATATTACAATAATTATAATTCTAATTACTTAATTAATACGTCTTGGCAGAAGTCGATGTCAAAACGAAAATATTATAAAGTAGGTACCCATCAGAAATGTAAGTAATTAATAATGTAATAAATATTTCACATATAAAGTTTTATCGTAATTGCTAACACCTATAAAATTTATAAAAATATAACTATAAAATTAATGTTGATAAAGCTTTTAATCAGATTTTTTTATTTCAGACATGTTAAGCCAGCAGTTGATTCCCAGCTGACGGTAATGGATCACTGTTACTTAGACCCCATTTTCTCATTTCGAAGTCTACCACAGAGATCACCTTCTCCATAGCTCACTGTGAGGATTTGAGATTCCGTATTCAGTAAGCAGTGAAGGACCGAGGCTCAGGTCCATATTATATCATAGCTGGCAATACGTACTGGTCGTACACTCTTGCTTTCAGGTTTTAAATAAATACGTAGGTCACTCAATAAGTTTTGAGATGCTTACTTACTTATCTTCACGCACAATCCCTGATGGGGTAGCCAGAGAGAACAGATCGCCAAGTGTCACGATCCTTACATAAATCTTTCGCTTCTTTCCGATTCATTATCTTCTTCATACATGCACGTCATGCCCTACCCGCACACAGGCTTTACAGTCACAGTAAAGAGACTGCACAGCCCTTAGCAATCGACCATCCACACCATACCCCGGCAACAGTTCCCACATTTTCTTCCTTACAACCTTATCAAATGCTTTCTCAAGATCCACAAAAGCACAGAAAATCTTCTGGTTAGCAGCCAGAAGCTTTTCCGTGATTATGCGGAGAGAAAACACTTGATCCGTGCATCCTCTTCCAGGTCTAAATCCGCATTGTGCCTCCCATAGAAATTTTTCCGATTTCTCTTGCATCCTACGTGTCAAAACCTTCGAGTAAACTTTACTTGCTAAACTGGTCAAGCTGATCGCCCGATAGCACCCGCAGTCAAAATGTGAACCTTTACCTTTATATAAAGGCACAATGACTGCGGATCGCCAATCATCCGGGACATTCCCCGTCCGCCAGCACAAATTGCACAGCAGATGAAAGCTGTCACAGACGCGAGGCCCACCATACTTGACCATTTCAGCAGTAACTCTGTCTAGTCCCGCAGCCTTACCACATTTCAAACTTCGAATCGCACGTTCAATCTCTTTCATACTGATGACCTCAGTGTCATCGAGGTCCGGGTCTGGCGTACCAGTCACGGCGTCATCCCCGGATCCCTCACTAAGATCATCACACGCATACATTTCTCTATAAAATTCGCTCCATCGCTGCATGAAGTCCGATTTTTCTGAGAGGACGTCATTAGTTCTCGAAAGCACTTTGTTCATTCTTAAGGCCGTCGCACCACTTCGGGTCCTTCCAACCTCTTTCCAGAAGAGTTTAGAGTTCTCCTTAAAGTTGTGCGACAACCTTTCGTCCGCTTCCATTCTACACCTTTCACGCACTTCCTCAATCAATGCTTTCGTGTGAACTTTCTGCAGCCTATATCTTTCTTTCATCTTCTCTCTCATATCCTTATCATTACTAGAGGCCAAGTAGTCTAACCATGCTTTCTTCTTCTTTTTTACAGCTTCTTTCACTTCATCATTCCACCATGCATCTCTTCTTTTACTACTGCCTCTTTTTACTGTTCCACACACTTCTTCCGCTGCACTTACCATTCCATCCCTAAGGTTCTGCCATGTTCTATCTATGTATTTTGAGATGCTCGTAATTTAAAAATGGAACGCCAGTGTTATATATTTCTAAAAAGTAAATTTATTTAAAAATAGAACTCCATAAGCTGATTGCTCGATATAAAAATAAAAAAAAACAAAGTTCTATTAATTTTTCTGCAACGCTTCCCGCGCTTTTCATTTAAAACGATGGATCCTAACCGTGAACATTGCGCGCTATGATATATTATGATTTTAAATTTGGTTTAACCGAACAATTAAGTTTACAACGGTTACAGTCAGCATTAAGGGACTCAGTTCCATCACGCGCAACAATTTTTAGGTGGTTTACTGAATTCAAAAGGGGTAAAATTAATTCTAAAGATGACCAAAGAACCTGGGCCCGCAAACAGAAGAAACGGAAGAAAATGTATGGACTATCAACAAACACTATAGAAGAAAAATGTTACAAAAAATAAGATTTAAAGATGGTGGATTCAAATGATTCTAGCGGTAGCGATGACGAAAATCCAGTAGGTGACGATGAAG